CCTCCGACGCAACGCAGGCTGACGGGGACTGGCGGGCACCTTCTTCCCTGCCCCGGTCACCGTTCGTAACAGCAAACCGCACTTCGCTTGCTCGCATTCATCAAATGATGCGCACCGGACTGGCGCGTAAGAGACGTACAAACTAAGACCAGGGAAGACTTCAAGCCTGATCTGATCACTACAACCAAGAAAGAAGCCACTGACTGTTAGAATGAAATCTCTCTGTCAAGAAGAGACGTGGAGTGGCGAGAAAAGGTGAACTGCTGTGAACACACTTGTTACATCTGAAGGTCTGCGCTTTCGCAATAAACTAATTGGATCAAGTCAGTGGATGTGCTCCGATGCTTCAGACTGTGGCGTGCAGCAGAGAAAGCTGAGCACCCTGTCTTTAAATTAACAGATTATAAAGAAAGAGGCCCCAGTACGCTAATGACAGGTTAGAGTAAAAAAAAAAAATTACATCAGACTCCTGTCAGCTGGCAGCATCCTTCACGCAGGGCACTGACGAGCGCTTAGTCTAAAGGTATCGGACTTCTGTTGTTGTGCTGGATTGCGAGCGGTAATCGGTCCTCGCGTGCCAGGTCACCCCCGGCTCGCCGGGGCGTCAGCAGGGAAATCCAGGGATGCGCAGATCGCTGAAGGGCTGCGTGGCAGGGGAAGATTCAACCACACAGGAAGGAGTGAAACATCATCACAGAAACTGAATTTTCTTCCTTGGGTCATCAAAACACAGCTTGGTGTTTTTAATATGGGACACCAGAACAGAAAATACAAAACCAGACGCTGCAGCTCAACTATCCTGGAGTGTGAAGGTTTGCACAAGAGATGTTCCGCAATTTCAAGATGTAAATGGGATAATAAAAATGCCTGCAGTGACACAAGGACATGACTGATAGAGAAACTGGCTCACCATTCAGCTCACACGCGGAGAGGGAATTAAAAGGGATTGAGAACGTGTCTATTAACAAGGCAAAGCACCTTCTTCCTGAAGAGTTTGTCTTCTTGTCCAAGTATCAGCTGCTGGAAGAAAGAAAAGTAAAAACCCCAACACATGACATCTGCTGTGCTGTCTGATGAAGGTTTGGTGATCCACAGTGCCTTCCTCGTGCACTGTGGGGCTTCCACGGAGCAACTGGAGCCATCCATAAACACCGCAGCGAGTCCGTAGGGATGGGAAGAGGAGAGCATGGCCAGAAAGCAGGTGCGCAGAAACCGGTATCGTGAATTCTGCTCTCTCGCTCCGCCAAAGCGCCCCCAATCCCTACACTGACTGTACCGTAGCGTTCGCACTGTGGAGCCTTGCAGGTGGACTGGCTGCCACTCCTCGTGAGCTACGCACACAATGCCAAACAAGCCACTGGTTCTGATTTTATAGCCATCAGCCATTTACTCACAAGACACATGAAATCTAGGTTCTCACTTCTACCTCTGCAAACCAGCGTTTCTGTATATCCCGAGTACCGTATTTTGCAATCCCCAAGACAACTCAGAGTGTCCCTGCCTGGCCCAAGAGCTCCGACTGTAAAATTCAGGGAGAAGCTGTCTACGCTGCCGCCGTGCGCAGCTCCTCCTCTCTGCAGGCCGCAGCAGGCGTCATTTCTACAGGTCCTCTGAGGGGTTATGAGCACTGCACGTCCCTGAACCAGCCACAGAACAAGCTGCCACGCGCCACCACGTGGATAGAGATGAAAAAGTTTCCATTAAAAATTGATTTTCACCTTGTTCCTACTCCAAGCATCTTGTAAGGACTTTTCAGTTAAAGTGGGTTTTCCAGTATTTTGAATAAAACAACAGCCACAGCCCAGCGTTTCCAGCCTCTGCACATCAACCCGAGCGTCGCTGTTCAAACTACTGTCCTGTCAGACTAGCAGTTTGCAGAAAGGAAGGTAAAACATCGCAGCTTCTTTGGTAACAATCTGGGCTTTCAAGATGAGCTATAAGCCAGAAGGGAAGAGACATCAGCCCCAACCAGCCCACGCGCATCTGTGTAAGTACATGAAAAGAGAGTTTTGTCATACCCGCTTTCTCATAGTGGGTTCCTGGGATTTCTCAAATTTCCTTTTCCTCCACAGATGCACTTCGTCAGACTTTCTCCTCAGTATTGAGTCAACTTGAGCCTTTTTGGAATGTTCCTCTGATTTCCGCCTGGGACTTTCTTCACAGTCCCCTTTCCGTTTTGCAGCATCCGTTACTTCCTTATTGTCTCTGTTCATTTTCTGTTCCTTCAGCAATGAGCCCGGGAGATTTGATGCGTATTTGAATCCAGGTCCGCGCTTTTGCTTGTACGCCAAAGAGACACAAAACACAAACAAACTTTATATCTTACGCCTTTCGCAGCTCTTTATCTAAGCTGCCTCCAGCACTGCTGGGCTGATCACTTTGTAACAGACAAAATGATTAGCAAGGACTTAGAGTAAAGGAGTTTCAACCTTCACAAAGTTGTAACTACACACTTGCAGCTTCTGTCTCAGTTTGCAAAGAAATAACGTTTCACTAATTCCAAAACACACTTCATGTCTTGCGTAATTGCTTCTGGATTTTGTGTTTGTTTTTTTTTAAAAAAGTATTTTCATCTTAGAAATGAACATGCAGCAGTCCACAGAACTAACCTAAATAGTTCCCAGCTTTGGGGTGAAGTGTTGGTACATGGAACAAGAATACAAAAATTATTAAAGCATAAAGAGCCATCAGCTTATTTCCTTCAACCCAACTGAATTCAGCACAAAATTAAAAGCCGGTATTGGGCAAAATTGTATCTACAAGCCAGAGGAAACGCCTGAGATTTTGTATCTCATTCCAGCACCACTTATTCCCATTAAACTCACTTTTCCAGTTTTCCCTGCATGGTTGCACTTTGGACACTCCCAGCAGTTCGGCAGCTCATCGTTCACCACACCATCCGATTCCTTCACCTGGTGAAAGAGAAGCACAACTCAATTCACAATCGCGCTGCAGAAAGCTGCGGAAGTCCACCTGCAGATCATTTAGCGGCGTTTTGTACCGCTCCGTTTTCTCTGACCGACTGCTGCCCTCCCAGCGGCAGCAGAGAGGAAACCCGGACGGCGGCGGGCGCTGCGCCATCCCACCGGTGCCGAGCGAGCCCTCGGGCCCGCACAGCCACCCTCCTGGTGTCGTCAGCAGGGGAGGAAAGCACGCTGGCCAAACTGGGCGGCGGGCGCTGCGCCATCCCGCCGGTGCCGAGCGAGCCCTCGGTCCCGCACAGCCACCCTCCTGGTGTCGTCAGCAGGGGAGGAAAGCACGCTGGCCAAACTGGTGTTTGACACAGGGTTCAGGTCTGGGCTTTTTATGAAGGTCACTGCCAGTCCCAATTAACACAGGGCACATTCTGCTCTTGCAAAAAACCAAACCAACAAAAACCACCCCAGAAACCCAAAGCCCGGATTATAATCACGCCATCTCCAAATGTCCTCCCACACCACTTCTTTGAAAAGCCCCGTCCCCCCCAGAGTGAGGCACGGTCTGATCTTTTAATAGGAAGGGATTTTTCCCATACACACGTTCTCACATACATTAATACTGTTCAGCATTTTTAGAAGCAAAAGCACCCTGCACTGTAATCAAGTGTTCCTTAAAATAATTTTCTTTACGGATCAGAACTAGCAGTCCATGCCTCCAGCCCTCAAGACCATGTGCCAATAAAAATCCTGGTTGCCAAGTCAGCTAGAGAACAGGCACTTTTATTCAGAAGACTGGACACATGAAGGCATTTTTCAGGTTTCTCACACCCACAGTTACCTTGCCCAGCTAGTGTAAGGAAGAGAAATGCTTACTACTTCACTACCTCCGAGAGACTGTGACCTTTCACTTTTTTGAAAGAGAAGCCACACACTCAGGATTGTTACCCTACAATAAAAGTGCTGTCCTGCCCTATGCAGCTGAAAAACATGCAGTTAAAAAGTTGAAAAGACCTTTCTGTGAATGAAACTGAGGATGAAAAGCAGAGCTAAGCTAAAGCCACCCTCCACACAAACACATGTGCTCACTGCTTGCACATTCACATTTAAGGGTTTCGTTATATACTCAGAAAAAAGCGGGGCGGGGAGGAAGATTCATGTATTGCTACTGTAGACAACAAAACCACGCTACTCAAGACAAATAGCTGTGCACTGGCATCGGCAGCACACTAGCAGGAGGCTGCTGCTGACACAGGCACGGGCAGAGATCTGCGGATTTTTCATATTTCTGAAACATTTCCTCCTCTCCTCCCAGCTCAGCTGGGCAGGGGCAAGCCCTGGGTTTAGGGGAATTGCTTCCTCAAGCCTCCGAGCCAGACAGCAGCCATTCTAGTTTCACCATCTACCGAGAGCGATGACATGTCAGCCTCTCTCAGCAAGTCTTCTGGAGTTAATAAATGAGTAAATGAAGTGGGCAGAATTTAAATACTGGTTTTATCACAACTGTGTGCCTTTGAACCTTCTTTCCCATGGTAGGTGTAAGATACTCCAGGAGCTGTTGTATACATCTCTGCCTCAGGGGAACAATTCCTGGCCCAAGCCCAAGTTGGGAACAAGTTATTTCCCGCACTGAATATAGAACAAATGCTACTGAAGGGAAAGCATTACAGCTCTGTCCCTTCTGTGAAGTTTAAGGAACTGAACAGATGTGAGGAACTGTAAGCAAACTAATTAGACACACACAAACCTGCCACCGAATCTGTCCCCAGCCTTTCGGGCTGGGTGGGAGCCAGTGCTGAGCGTTTGCTCCAACAGCAGGTGGGTGTCTGAGCCCCAGCGTGAGGCTTCTTCGGAAACCTACCTGCAGCACGAGGTCAGCAACTCAGAAAGCCTGAACACGAGACGATGCTACTGCGAAGCCTTCCTGTGAGGGAATAGGGAGACCCCAGGACGCTGCTCTGGCAGCGCTGAGCGAGAGCCATGAATTCCGGCAGTGCCAAGACTGAAACAACACGGGCAGCGAGACACACCTGGGCTGAGCCCACGGGCAGCTGTGCTGGAAAAGGCCTTTGTACTTCTGCTGTTCCGACAAGGCTCCTAAACATCCACCTTCTCCACCATTATCACTGTACGCATCTAAGATTAAAAAGACCAGGCTCCTACTGGGGAAAGCGAACCCCTTCTCCTCGAGAAAACAGCATCAGATACCGCACTCGCTCACACGTGCTAACCAGCATTACTAGCAATTTGACAGGTAGGCAAGAAAAATTCATCGTTAGCAGTTCAACTCAAACGCTCTGTTACAATGAGAGGCAACATTCCGCCAAAAATCTCACGAGCTCCCTCTGGAAACAATGCTGCGCTTGCAAAATGCTCGCCGAGATCCTTCCCCCATAAAACTCTTCGACACAACGAGCATTTGTGTTGGTATTGTATTTTCAAAGGAAGCAGCACGGCAGAAACCTCCCAAGGAACATCCCGGCTGTCCTTAGCGTGGTGCCAACGCCAGCACCTCCTGTGCTCTGCAACCCAGCGCTCCCCCCAGCAAGAGGCACCCACAGAAGCCCCTCGGGGCTGCGAGTGTGTCAGAGCAGAGATGCGCCTGAGCTACCCTGCATCTCCTCAAAGAGATCATCCGCCGACGCCGTTTTTTCAAGGAGAAAATGCACTGCAAACACGTACAGCCAGATCAGGAAACTGGGAGAGGATGGACTTCAACCCAGGAACAGCCTGCCCTGGCGTACAAACCAGGCAGCGTCCGTGCCAAACTACTCCACAAGCTTTGAAGACGCGTCTTGGAGGGCATTCACTCAGCACGGGAATAAGCTGGGAAAGGACACTCCTCCCTTCCTTGATCCAGTTTATGCCAGTCTGCCCCAGTAGCACATTTGCCAAACGTTCAACTGGAGATGACCGACAGCTCACAGGTACCCCTGCCTATTGACTGAGCAGGACAGGAGGGGACTTTCTCTTGGTGGACAGCCAAAGCAGCTGCCCCGGGGCTGCGTCTGCACTCGAAGGCGCTTCCCACAAGGACTATTTACAGGCTCAAGCCAGTGTCAAGGGCTGGAGCACCACATAAACATGGCAACAGACCTTTGTCTCACAGAAAATCATGGAACGCAGGAATAAAGAGCAAGGAGGGACCCAAGGAACAGACTCCATGTTCCTCCTGCTGTTGTCCTGCTCATAGTCTCATCTCACCTTCCAAGACAATCCTGAAATCCTACCGGTGCCCCTTTGTCTCAGTAAATAAATAGTACCAGTTGCCTCACCATTCCAGCTCAACAGAAGCACTGAGAAATTAAAATACAAGACACATGAGGCACACTGTAAATCTCCCACTGCTTCATTTTTGGAAACACCCAAAGCAACATTGTTCCTAGTTACCAAAACTGTGCCCAGAACACCACGCACGCAGAAAAGAACAAACAGCCCTTGCTTGATTTCACAGGTCTGACCCACATCCTGTGCAACCAGTCCCAAACGTGGTACGGGGAGAGGAAACCATACTTGAACTGCCACCAGACAACGATCGTGTCCCCTGGACTCAGCCATGAAGTGTCACTGACGCTGAAAAGCACGAGATGGGAGCACACGGGGCACTTTCAGGAAGGACAGAAATAGCAAAGCAGCAGCTACAAGCCAAAATTGAGGTACCTCTGAAAACAAGCAGCTCCCTCCCTCGCGGCCTTGTTTTAAGCAGAACCAAGCAAGCAAAGCTCCCTTTCAGAGCCCATCTGCGGCAGGAGGTGCGAGCACCCATTTCACAGAGCGAGGGGACAGCCACAGTTCTGGTTTGCCAGCTGCCTACTTTCTGCCCTAATAAATGACACACACATAGCTTGGTACAATACTGTCTACGACACAAGAAAAATAAAAGGCCAGGAGAGCACCAGCCCGGCCCTGCACAAGGAACGTACCTCTCCTCCCAGAGATCTCCAGAAGGGCCAAAAGCTGCTTTCTGGGGCACGGTGTGTCGAACACATTTGCTTTGGCAAATCACTTTAACCATAAACAAATCAGCAACAGGAAACGGCTGATCAGCTGAAACAAACCAGCTCTGGAGAAAGGAGGCTTCCACATGCTCCTACACAGACGGTACGCCCCGAACGACACCGCTGTTACCAGCGAAGAACACAGCTGCTCACAGGACTCCAGTCAGCCAAGGGTGAGCACTCCTGCAGCCCGAAACTCACTCAGTTTGTTCTCCAGAGCTGCAGTCTTCCTACCACAACAGTTGCTCGTAACATCTTTAAAGCCAGCTGCCACCGAGTGGCACATCTGTGCCTGGACAAACACGAACGGCAAACCACTCGGCTGCACTCTGTGGGACGCAGGGAGGAGCTGCTGGTACGGGGATTGTCACCAACTCATCTCAAGGTACAGGCAGATTTCTCTGTCCTCTTGCGCTCCCCGTCCCAACTGAAACTCCTCGCTTCCTTAAACAAGAGGCAAAAAAAGACAAACAAACCCCACAGGACATTTGCATGCGCACCGGTTTTCGGAGGCTGTCCAAAGCACGAGCCTCTGCTTACGGGGGATGCTGTTACCCCAAAGGGTCCTTGCCTGCCAGCCAGGGCCACGCGTGCCACGGCTCTCACCCTGCTTCTCACACCACCTCCTTGCTCGCTTCAGTATCCAAAGATGAAAACATGAAAGCTTTCCCATTTCTGTGCACTACTTTTACATTAAGGTGATAACTAATCCGGTTTTTGCTTCCAACACGTATCACATCCTTGTACTCACCTTAAGGCATCCTGGGTGTATGATTTCATTACAAATGGAGCATTCCATTAGCATGAGATTAAACTTGCTCTCCTCCTCTTCCACCGTGTCCTCTTTCCCAGCTTCTCCACACACCAGACACACAGCAGTATGAGGCAACACCGGCTGTTTACACATTATCAGAAAGAAGTCTTGATCAGGACACAGAAGACAAACGGAAACAGGACAACCCAATGTGCATTTACAGCACCCTCATTTAAAAGAGGAGATAAACAGGGATTAATTGTGCAACCTGCTGAAGGCTCCAGACCAGCAGAGCAACACAGGCAACAAAAACTGGGAACAACTGAGGCTGGGTACCCAGACCAAGCATCACAGGACGTGTTTCATGGAACGCAAGTGCCCTCCCTGTGGCAAGACAGATTCATGGGGCATCCCAGGGGTGGATGAAAATGCTTTTTTTCATAGGTCCCTTGAATCTGTGAGCTGACACAGACATTGGCATGCAAGTCACTTCAGGGTACAATGGGAGGGAAAGGAAGCAACCTAGAACATCACCATTCACATCCATTAAGCCTCCCAATCTGACTAGCAATTTGGCAGCTCCCCTATTTTACAAGCAGGGCAGCCAGATGTTATGGGACCCAATCCAGGTCTTGCAGCAAGCCCGCAAAAGAACCAAGAACAGACCTTTTCCTGACTGACAATCTATTATCTAGGGCCCTGCTCCCAACCTGAGCTTTGCAAAAAGCACTGCACAGACACTTAAAAACAGAATTCTTCTCCGGCAAGCGTCACAAGTGAGAAGCACGCCGATTTTTTTCTGTCTTTGCTGAGGCATAAAGAGAACTGCAGCATCTCACATATCTGTCACCCATGTCAAAGCACTGAATGCCAGTCGAATTAAAAAGCCACCTTTGTGCTAATGAGGAACAAACTTCTGGTTTGCAGCAATCAGGTATAAGCCTCATTACAAGAAAGAAGAGGGAGATCCTCATAAGAAGCTGGGTGTAATGTGAAATGCAATTGATTTAGGTTGCAAGTCCTTAACTACTAAGCACCCAGAGGCAGAGATGCAGCTTTTCACAGCAAGGATCTCTTGTAGATGGAGTGAATAAAACCCGTAAGCGGATACTTGTGCACCAAACCCCACCTGTGCAGCAACAGCGCATCCTTCGGCGAGCTTCAGATAGGCAAAAACCTAGCTATAGCAAGCCATTACAGAGTACAGCGTGCTGCCCCACACCAACATCTGACACATTAGCTACAGCAACACTTCCCTGCTTCCTCATGCCAGTACTTACCCACGCTCCATTTTAAAAGCATTTTGCAAATGGTGTTTAATTCCCACCCTTCCTCCAAGCACAAAACAGGAATCCCCAGGATCTCATTCCACCAGCAGGTAAACCAGAGAAAAAGCTAAGTCGTCCAGAGCAGTAAGGGCTCTGTCTGTTTGTTTTGTCCTGTCTCCCACACAACAAGTATTTACACCCCCAAAACAAGAACAAACATCCCAGGAGCAGTACAGTTTTTCTCGCTGGGAGCAAGGGTGTCTAGGGAATCTCCTCAGTGCCCAAACTAGCTCTGGGCACTGACAGGCTGGAGAGGCAGCCACACTGTCACAACTTGTCCACCCAGCACAGAAGCCCACGCTCCCTTCAGACCTATTCGGCGCAGCATAAAGCGTCCCAGGCACTCCTGTTTCCTTTCTTGATTGAACCAGTGATGCAGAGGAGCTTCCTGTTCTCCGAACGGCAGTATGGGCTCTCTTAAGGCTTCTGAGTTTAATGAAAGTCTGTGTCTAGTTAATATCGTCAATGTTATTAACCAGGGGAAAGCACAATCCCAGAACTGTAGGGATCATTACTTCCACAGAGCCTTGCTTTTGTGTTTTGGGTTATTTTTCATTTGTTTGGGGGTTTTTTTGCTGTTGGACAGGTACCACCATATATTACAACTCCAATTGTTAGAGAACATAATGAACAACAGTGAAAACAACAGGATCACTTATAGAAACATAAAGCACCCTTAAAAGTTACAACAGTTCAACTTGCTAATTTTCTATGCTTTTGCTGCTCGAAGAAAGTCTGTGATACTCTCTCTGCCACTTACACCAATGGGAAGCTATGCAGGGCAAAGATGTCTTCTGGAGTGCATGTAACGGTGGGACAAGGAATCAGAGTACCCCAGCTACCAAGCCCTGTGCTCTAACCACAGCTTCTGGAAACAAAACTGCAGATACCAAGAAGAAAAATGCTTCCTCATTACAAGAGAGGCGATGAGAGGATGACTACACTCAGCCAGAAGAGAACCCAGTTCATCTCCAAAGCTTAGCCTGCACTACCAAGAGTGAAACAGCTTAGCATGGAAGTTTCCTTCATCAGTCAGGACAAGAAAGCACACTGCAGCCCTAATTTAATCCCTCCGCTAAAAGGCAGCACGATTTCACAATTTCTTCCCCCTGGAGAATAATGAATTCTTCATCCATGCTGTTCCAATTCATGCCACACTCCAGGAAATCAAGTGTTCAAAGAAAAGACACTTGAGCTGCAAAAGCACTCCGCGGAAAGGTAGATATTCTATGTACTTTACTGAAAGATCCAGCAGAGCTGAATCCAATCCTCTCTGTCAAGAACAGTGCATGGCTTAGAACAGGACATGGAGTGAGCTACCAGGAGCAGCTACTGGAAACCTTAAGTGCTCATCAGTTTTTTATCCGTGTGAGACCAAGTCATTTAACGCCTCCACTTCAGTTTCCTCATCAGAATTAAAGAAAAAAAAAAACCACTAAGTGAAAGAAACTAACAAGAGTTAAGAGAGAAATCAGTATAGATGGGGTGATATTTCAGTTATGAATAAACAACATTCCTTTCCTTAAAAAAAAACCAAAAGAAAACCAAACCCTTAACCACAGCATAAACAAGACCTTCCAAAAAATTAAGATAAAAGCTAAAGCTCATTTTTACTCTTGAATGGGGGCACTGAGGACATGAGACCTTAGGAGAAGCTCCGCAACAGTCAGTACAAAAGCAACGGATTCAAAAGTTGCTTGGACAACTTAATGGAAGATTAATCTGTCAATATTTGTTAAATACAAAGCTATCACTTCTGACTCAAGAAGCTTCTAAGCAATGTATCACAGGAGCCCAGGAAACTGTCTGTGAATGCCTGCTTGCCCTGTTCTGATGCTCATCGCCCGACAGCCATTTCCAGTCCCTGAGGAAGGCAAGCCCCTGGCTTGACGGCTCTTTGGCTCATCTGGATCAGACCCTCTGCTGTATGCCTAGCTAACAGCAATCAAATTGAAATTCAGATCTCGAGTAGCCTGGGGCTGGGGTCATCAATGCCTAAATCCTGGAGGATGCCAGTCAAAGATTTCTCCTTATCTTAATTTGGTTAAGTACTTAAGACAGTAAAGATGGTTGCAAGGCAGCTCTTCTCAGGAAATTCAGAGTTCGAAACCAAACAGGCCTCTTCTTCCTTTCAGTCAGAACTTCCCAGTCTTCACCTTCCCCCCAAATCCCAGAATTTCAGTGTGATTTGCGTGCCAATTTCCGGTGTACTGATAATCTCCACTTCTGTACTACTGAGAATGAAAGCTGTGCTATTAAGTTTTAGTAGCATTCTGGCTTAAGATTTGGGGAAGGATGAAAAGCGATGGGAAGGAGCGATCTGAACCAAGGGGGCAGGGATTACACCGTTTTGTCTGATGCACTTCAGAGACTACTCAGAGCAGAGGTCTCAGTTCCACACCTTGTCACCAGGAGACACAGATACAGGAAAGAAATCCCCAAAGGAGCTGTAGGTACACTTACTGCGATGCACTGCCTCATGATGCAGGACTGTTTCATCCTGCCAGGTCCCCCAAATTTCTTCATGTCTTTGCAGAAGTGACAATCGCCGCACTCTGTCCGCAGGCACGCCTCGCACTTGCGGCATCGCGTCCTCCTCCGACGTGCTCCCGCGGTTGTCCGATTAGCTGCGAGCTTCACCGCAGAAGCAGCGCCCAGTTTCCCTTTGGGCCGTCCAACTGCCCTGTTCTGAAAGAGCCAGACACACAAGGTTAATCACGCATCCCACGTGCCACCTGAACTACAGAACTTTCTTGGACAGGAGCTGTGTACATCTTAGATGTAAAACTGACAGGTGTATCAGAATTGCACACAGATGGGTAATACTCGGCAGATGCATACGATCACTCTCACAGCTAAAGGAGCTCCCTTCCCTTTTCAAGAACAGATGCGTTGTAAAAGACAAAGCAACCAAGGAATAAATGAGAAATCCCAAACCTACAGCAAGCCCACTTCAACAGGAGGGCAGGGAGAACCAATTCACACACAGCTCCACACAGACCCAAGTCCCAGCTGCTTGGCTCAGGTCAAGCAACGATCTGTGCCATCGCTGAGCTCTGGGCTAGGGAGCTCTCAAAACCGTGCTCAGGTTGAGCCAGGTCTGCTTTCCTCCGCTGGAAGCGGACGAATCCAAGGAGGCAGCAAAAGTAATTTTGAGGTTAGGTACAGCAGAGAAACACTCAGCAGCAATGGTCCAAGCCACAGCAATCTCCTTAAAAAAACAGGAGAGTATGAACTACTGCCAAGTGATAAAGTAGGAAATAACACACAAATACTACAAAACCCTGCCAAAGCAGCTCCCCTCACATCCAATACTAGCAAGCGTTCAAAAATAGAACACTACCTGATGCTGTGCAGAGGCTCAAAAGGGCATCCCAGGTCTAGATACCAATGACCTTTCAGACAGAAGCTAAAGGAGCAGGAAAAGATTTTAAATGATTACGTTAACTGCAACATATTCACTCGGGATATCTACATTTCATGTTCTTGTCAGAAACTCCCTGTTACACACCAGAACTTACAGCTCAAGCCAAACATCGCTAAATACCATGTAATTGTGTGGGGCTAATTATGCAAGAACTGGCTTGGCTCATTCTTACCACTGACAGCCTTCTCCATAAAGCAGATAATAATTGGACTGCAAAGCTCACCTGGTCTAGCCTTCATCCAGCTCTGCCACTTTCTGCACACCTCAGCAGATGACCAACAGACCAGCCAGTTTCACTTTCTGTTCCTGCTGAATTCTGGGCAATCACCCCTGCAGGCAGGGGCAAGTTGGCTACAGAAAGCCATCCCGAATTCCCGCTGCAGTGTTTGAAAGCCAGGGTATGGGAACACTCCACTTGGTACTACGGAAGCTTCCCTAAGTGTCCTGTTATACAACCCTGAAGAAAAGCCACATTGCCAAGCATTTGATCTTCCTCCCAGCTGACTTAGCAAAGCCCCAGTGACTTTCTTAAGATGCAGAAGAGTGCTGACATTATAACAGTCTCCATCCCATGAACCTCAGTGCTGGGAGAGCAGAGAAGCCAGGAGCTGGACCTCTTTGCTTTCTCTCCCACAGACCTACTATCACAACTGAGGTGGGAGAAAACACTGCTTGGTCGACGAGGCTACGCAGATCTCAGCAAGTTTTTAATTACGCTCCTCCAGAACAGTTCTTGTTCTGCTTGCAGGTTGAATCGCACTGTGCTGTGTGAGCGGAGACAAGTACAGCTTCCTTCTCACCCGCAACCACACCAGAGGCCTGCATTTCAGATCCATTTCAGACACTCTGAAGAACAAATATTTACCTTCTAGACCAACTTTTCAGCCTCTCAAGGATACAGTCAGCTCTGGCAGGACTGGCTTAGAGGCAACCTAGATAAGAGATAATTTCCTTCCTCAGCACGAATCACTCCTCCATTCTCTCTATTAGAGTATCCTTCCACCAGCAAGGGAAGCGAGAGACACGAACCATAGGAAGGCTACACCATCAGTGGGAACAAGTTAAACCAAACCCTCCTGGGCAGCTCCCCTCTGCCAACAGCACATGGCAGATCCTGTGTGAGCATCTGACTCCTTCCTACCGGGTTTGAACAAGATTAAGTTTTTCTTAAGAAGGCAAACACCAGTTACAACACCATCAGAATGGTCTTTTTTAAACACAATCTCTTTCAAGGAAAAATCAAACTGGATACTTTTCCAGCTGAAAGACAACTCCTGATTCTGCCACAGTAATACGAGCCAAGTCCTAATTCCAAGGACAGCATCTTCAGTGCCAGGACACTACAAAGATGCAAGCGGTAAAAAGGCATCGCTTCAACACAGAATTTGAGAATCCTTTAAACAAATGGCAGGAAGGTGAAGGTACAAGAAGGCGGCTGAAGCCAGACCACACCACACAGCTCAGACTTCCTTACAAATCACTGCCACAGAGCAGACGGCAGAGGTGCAGACCTCTGATCTCACTGCACATAACATTTCTTACCTACCCAGACCTCTCGTTAGGAAATCCACGTAATCGTACTAGCTGGGTTTGTATTAATTCACCAACCGACCAATCCTCAATCCGAGCCACATTTTCACTCCAGGATGTCGCAGCCAGCAAGGCTAGAGAGGCCTTGCAGGAATTCCCACTAGTATCTAGTTTCAAGGGGCTCCACAGCGGTCGCTTAAAAACCTCCACAGAAAAAAATCTGGCCTGTGGGTTGCTCTCCCAGAAAGCGGCTGAGATTCAAGGGGGTAGAAGGAGCCTCCGACATGACTTGGGGTTTATTTAGCACGTGGCAGCCAGCCAGATAAATTCCAGGTCGACGTTAGGGAAGAGATGCTGCGGGATTTCCAGCTCAGACAGCAGTTTTACAATGCATTAGCCCTGGTAGCGAAACTAGGTAGAGATTTCCTTCCCAGCTCCTGCTCCCATCTCCGTACTGCAATTTGCCACTCTCCTAGCACAACTCTGCGGAGCCGTCTTGTGAATAAAGGGCAAGCGGTAGGGGACGGCACGACTCCTTAGCCTGGGTTTACCGCGTGGTAGGGATACGGCAGGATTCCTTAACCCGGGTTCACCACAGTGGCCAGCAAACAGCAGCTCTGCAGCCCCCAGCTCAGCGCTGGGTGACACACTAAGCCCTAAACTAGGTTCTGGACCGATGGGAGTCTCCCACCTGTGTAGCAGATCCTATAATCTCCTTTCCCAAGATGAGCTGAGACCCTCAAACACAACCTGTGCCTCCTGACTCTGTAGTCCCCAGCAGCCGCCCTGCAGAACTGTCAAGAAAAGAAAGATTATACCAAACTTGGGGAGATTTTTTTTTTTTTTTAAAGAAAGATTATACCAAACTTGGAGAGATTTTTTTTTTTTTTTTTTTTCTCTCCAATCTTACAACTAACACCAGGGAGTTGAGACAGAGCCTGCCCGAAATACTGTGAACAAGCAATCCTCTACGTTCTCCAGCACCTCCACAGAAACCGTGCCCATCCTGCTCTGGCCACAGCAAGAGCCTTCAGAAGAGAGGCAGGAGGATGCTGAAGCGATGACAAACACTCTCCCAAGCTCCCAACGAAGGCTGTGCAAGCAGCTGCTGAAACCCATTAGGATTAATATATTTAATACCTACCTCTATTACACTGAAACCTAGAAAGCTGGTGGACTTGCACTGCCCTCTAAAACAAGATGTGTTAAAGGACACCCTGCTAGGTTTTTTTTTCCTTTTTTTTATTTGTTCCCCATTCCCGTTCCCCCCGCCCCGCCCC